GTAGGGTGTTCCCAAATATTGCCCACATTTCCTGATCCCCCTCAATGGGAGTGAGGGGTTTTTGTGGCCCCCAGAAAAGCACAGCCAGAAAAGCCCAAAATGAGCATTTTCTCCCTGCTGTCAGCACAGAAACGTGGGTGAGATGTTCCAAACAACCAGGAGAGGAGGGAGAGGAGGGAAGAGCTTTTCCTTTCTTCCCTACTCTCCCAAAATGCCTTTTCCCCAAAACCATGGTGTGGCATCAGCATCACTTGGGAATGGAGAGGGATTATTTCCAAGGGGCTGAAGGGCCAGAATAAAGGAGCTTTCCACTGCCAGAGGTCAGATGGGACATTGATGTCCTGTATTGCCAAGCAAATTGTTTTCTATTTGCCATCTGTATGGCACTTGTCTTCTGTTGAAAGTTGGCAGTTTTCCTCATCTCTTCCACAATCACTCCTCCCTCTGGGGGGACACATCTGGTGATAACAGCTCTTGAATGTCCCTGCATGGCTGATAAGAACTACAGCATCCCACTGGGAGATGTGAGCCCAGAGGGAGGAGCCAAGCATTCCTGCCGGATATAATCTGGGGATTCTGGAACACCAGCCAAGCATTCCTGCCTGGATATAATCTGGAGATTCTGGAACACCAGCCAGACATTCCTGCCTGGATATAATCTGGAGATTCTGGAACACCAGCCAAGCATTCCTACCTGGATATAATCTGGAGATTCTGGAACACCAGCCAAGCATTCCTGCCTGGATATAATCTGGAGATTCTGGAACACCAGCCAAGCATTCCTGCCTGGATATAATCTGGGGATTCTGGAACACCAGCCAAGCATTCCTGCCTGGATATAATCTGGAGATTCTGGAACACCAGCCAAGCATTCCTGCCTGGATATAATCTGGAGATTCTGGAACACCAGCACGGCTTCTCCACTGGATTCCCCAGAGGATTTCCCTCTTCCCCTGGATCTCCAGAGGAAGACTGCACCCTTCTCCAGGATCCCTGCTCCAGCAGAACCAGCCCTGACACTGCAGGAGGGCTGAGCCACAATTCCAATGGGACTGCTGCCAACAGCCTGACCCACAGGGTGTCAGGTTGGGTTCTGACTCTGGCAGTGTTGGTTTGGTTCACTGCATTGTTTATTTTCTCCTTTTATTTTCTTCTCTACTACAGAGTTGTTATTCCTGCTCAATTGTTTTTTGCCTGAGAGCCCCTTAAATTAGAATTTATAACAATTGGGAGGGAGGGGGTTTACATCTTACATTTCAGGGGAGGCTCCTGCCTTCCTTAGCAGACACCTGGCTTTCCAAACCAAGACAAGTGGGAAGGAATTCTTCCCTCTGAGGGGGGTGAGGCCCTGGCACAGGGTGCCCACAGAAGCTGTGGCTGCCCCTGGATCCCTGGAAGTGCCCAAGGCCAGGCTGGACAGAATTTGGAGCCACCTGGGATGGTGGAAGGTGTGGACAGTGGGTGGAATGGGATGGGATTTAAGGTCCCTTCCATCCCAAATCATCCCATGATTCTGTGGCAGATTTAGGACAAGATCCCCACTCCCTGCACCCCTCAGGCACTGTGGAAAGTCTCACAATTTTTCAGGCAGCAGATGCCCTCTGTTGTCTCCAGGGAATGTTTTCTCCCTCCTTCCTGTCCAGCAGCAGATTCCCAGCTGGAAATGCAGGGTTAAAGACCTGCCTGGAGCTTCCCTGGGCCAGCAGGTTTCCGGTGTGGGAATAAAAAACTCATTAAGGGCCGGCACAGACAATGAAATGAAACTTTGTCATTGTGGATTTGAGCTGAGCAGACGCTGAGGGAGCTGATGAGAGGAAAATTAATTTGCTTTTTCCAAAGGCTCCTGCGTGATGTTAATAAAAGCAGCATTTTGTGCAGGCTCATGGCTCAGGATGCAGAGATTCACAGTCCTCCTGTCCTCACAGAGCTCTGCTGAAGGCCCTTTTCTCCTTTGGAAGCAGAGAAAGGAGGAGTTTTTGGATTCCAGAGCTTGGGTGTAATCCCTGGCCAGCAGCTCAGGATGTGTCCTGGCCAAGGGACTCAGGTTTAAGGGGTTCCTCTCCTTGCAATATACCTTTTATTCTGGCATTGAATTTGATCCAAATGATTTCCCTGAGCCATCCTTGCCAGGACTGATGCCCTGATGGTTGGGAGAGTGCCTCTCCTGCAGCAGAAAGCCAATCCCAGGGGATGGATGCTGAATTTCCTGATGAGGAGCCATAAACCTCCCAAAAAAACCAGCAACTGCTAATTAGTGGTCAGCAGAGGAGCTGGGGGCTGGCAGGAGTGAATCCTTGGACTCTGGGAGAATCCTGCCCTTGGGCTGTGCCACAGCTCCTGCTGGGCTCTCCTCCCACCCTGCCACATTCCTGCAGGATGCAACCTCCTTGCCATTTCCAACATTTTTCCCATTTTTAAAAAATTTTTCGGTCTATATTTTGCACTCCAGGCAGCCATTCCCTCTGGCTTAGAGGAGAATTGGGCAACTGGTCCTGAAATTCCAGCGCGAGCAAGCAGGTCATGACCATCCAGATAAATAAAGCTCAAGGACCCAAAGGCTCTTCCTAAAGATTTTTGGCTCCTTTTCCAGCTGAGCACACCCTGAGCCATGATGGGAGCCCCAAAACTGAGCCCAGAATTTGCTTTTCCTCCTGCTGAGGGAATCATTTGGGAATGAAGGGACAACTGTGCCCTGCCAGGGCTGGGTGGGATGGTGCCAAATTTGTGTTCCCAAGGTTGGCACCGGGATTAATGACATTCCATGGGCGTTGGGAGCGCCCCAGCTTCACCCCCATGGGGCAGGCACATCTGGAAAACCTATTCCTAAACTTCCACAGCCTCCCAGCCACGGGGTGCTGCCAAAAACTCATTTGAGCAAGAGCAGCCCCTGCCTGACATCTGCCCACACGCATTTGGGAGGCCAGGAGACTTCCTGTGGGCATTGGCAGCCTGACAGGAGTGACCTCAACCCTGCCTTTTTTAGGGTGGGTATTTTTGGGGGTGGTGTTTTGATAACAGGTGGGAGCTCTCCCTGCCTGTGGGATGGGCAGGTTTGAGGGAAGAGCTCAGAGATGGGGAGGAAATTGTGTTGCTCTGTTAAAAAAATGTAATTCTACATCTGTAAAATGCATTTTATTGCCACTTTATAGGAAATTGGAGGCACCCAATTCCCCCTGCCAGCCTCTCCTGCTGCCTCTCCCCCCATTCCCGTGGTTTCATCCCACATCCAACACATTTCCTCCAGGAGCCTGATCTACCCTGAGCAGCATCACAAGCACAAACCCACACATGATTCAGCAGACTCCTTTGAGACACATTTATTATTTAAATATTTAAATAATAACTCTTTTTTTTTAATTATTTTTACATCACCTTGCCTCACAAGCCACGGAAAAGCCCCAAATCTCGGCACTTTTGGGCTCCCTGAGCAGAGCTGCAGCTCCCAAATGAGATCCCACGCTGGGAATTGCACAAATGCCACTGGGTGTGTGGGGTGTTCCTCAAATGGGAGCCACAAGAAAATTCCTAATGGCAGTGGTGGCCTTGGGATGTGGAGCTGGGCGCTCCTCATCCCAGTGGGAACCATCCTGGAGTCTCAAAGAGCAAGAGGAATCCCAGAAAAACAAAATAGTGGTGTTGAAGGGTGCTGCCCAACTTCAAAACCTGGATGGTTTTGCAGATGGTTTTTTGCTTTTATTGATTTTTAATGGGTTTTATTTTAAATAAATATTTGTCCCAATCAAGGACAAACCCAAACCCCACCAGCAGCACCACCCTGGATGTGGTTGAAGCTCATGGCTGTGGCCATTCCCTGGTCAGGTTTTTTATTCCCTTTGCTGGCTCTTCCAAAGGGAATTTCCAAATGGGTGCTGAGGAGGGGCTGCTCTGCTCCATCACAGCACCAGGGAAGTACCAAAATTTGGCTTTTTTAGTACTTTGGTGCCCCTCAGGGACCCACCAGTGCCTAAAATCTCAGGGCTGTGGCACAGACAGACAGACAGACAGACATGAGCACACAGACCTGGCCCTGAAAAAGTGCATTTCTTTAGGCAACCAGCCTAAAATAATGGGGATTTTTTAATGACACTCTGCTCCCTTCCTCTCCTTCCCAATCCTTATGGATCTGGGGGCACAGATGGGTGTTTGCAGCCACCCAGCCCCATCTCCAGGAGCTGTGCATCCCAAAACCCCACGGAGACCTTGCTGGGCAGCGCAGCTGGAACCTCTGCTTCCCAACACCCCCCAGCCATGGGGTCACAACAAAACCCCCCAAGCTTCACCCCCAACTCTCCCCAGCAGGGCTGAGCCCTCCTCCAGCCCTGAGGGCGCCAGCAGCACCCAGGGACTCACCAGTCCTTCCAACCCCAGGCACTCGCCAGCCCTTCCAACCCCGTCCTGCTGCACTTCTGTCCCTGTGAGAGGCCACAGTGACTCCCCAGGTGACACCTGAGCCAGCCCCAGCTGGCCCAGGCTGGCAGAGCTTCACAGAATGACAGAATTCACAGAATCCCTGGGTTGGGAGAGACCTTCAGGATCACGGAGTCCAACCCAGCCCCAACAGCTCAACTCAGCCCTGGCACCCAGTGCCACATCCAGGCTTTGTTAAACACACCCAGGGATGGGGCCTGCACCACCTCCCTGGGCAGCCATTCCAGAACTTTATCACTCTTTCTGTAAAAAACTTTTTCCTCATATCCAACTTAAATTTCCATTGGCACAGCTTCAGACTGTGTCCTTCGGTTGTGTCAGTGCTGCTGGAGAAAGAGCCCAGCCCCAGCTGAGCACAGGCACCTTTCAGGAGCTGTGCAGAGTGATGAGGGCACCCCTGAGTCTCCTTTTCTCCAGGCTGGGCACCCCCAGCTCCCTCAGGGGTTCCTCACAGCGTTTGTGTTCCAACCCCTCTCCAGCCTCATTCCCTCCGGCCGCTCCCCAGCATCTCCACACCCTTCCCACACCGAGGGGCCCAGAACCGCCCATCAGGAGGCCGCATCCCCCCGGACCTACTGCCCACAGAGGTGTGGCCGTGCTGGCAGCTTTGTGACAGCAGAGGCCACGGCGTGGCCGCCGGGGGCCGCGGGGCTGAGCTGGCAGCAGAGCACGGAGCGCATGAGGCGCAGCACGGGCGGCCGCAGGATGGCAAACACCCAGGGGTCCACGATGGAGTTGATGGACAGGAAACGCAGGGCCAGCAGGTCCAGGCCGTGGTCACCCTGTGCCTCGCTGAGCTTGTTCACGTAGGCGCGGATCTGTGGGATCAGGGCGGGAAAAGGAGGTTAGAAACGGCCTGGTTTCGGTCTATTGTTGTCCTGCTAGGCGGGGTTCAGCCAAGGCATATCCAGGGAATTCACGGGATTCACAGGATTCACGGAATTCACAGGATCACGGAATTCACGGGATCACAGAATCATGGAATTCACAGAATCACAGAATGAACAGAATGACAGAATTGACAGAATGACAGAATTCACAGAATTCACAGAATGACAGAATTCACAGAATTCACAGAATGACAGAATTGACAGAATGACAGAATTCACAGAATTCACAGAATCACAGAAGGACAGAATTCAGAGGATCACAGAATTGACAGAATTTGCAGAATCACAAAATTCACATAATCCATAGAATCAGAGAATGACAGAATCACAGAATTCATAGAATCACAGAATTTACAGAATGACAGAATTCACAGAATCAGAATTCACAGAATTCACAGAATCACAGAATCACAGAATTGACAGAATTGACAGAATTGGCAGAATTCATAGAATCACAGAATTCATGGAATTCACAGAATGACAGAACTCACAGAATGACCAGGTTGGAAGAGACCTTCAAGATCATGGAGTCCAGCCCAGCCCCAACAGCTCAGCTCACCCCTGGCACCCAGTGCCACATCCAGGCTTTGTTAAACACACCCAGGGATGGGGACTGCACCACCTCCCAGGCAGCCATTCCAGAACTTTATCACTCTTTCTGTAAAATCCTTTTCCCTGATATCCAACCTGTATTTCCCTTGGCACAGCTTGAGCCTGTGTGCTCTGGTTCTGTCAGTGCTGCCTGGAGGAGCTGCATCCAGCCTGGTCTGGAGCCCTTCCAGCCACAGCTTCTCTGGACAACCTGTATCAGGGCTTCACCATCCTCACAGCAAAGAATTTTTCCCAATTTCCCATCTAAACCTCCTCTGTGTCCTCTCTGAATCTATTTCTCCCTGATCCTGTCACTCCAGGCCTTTGTAAAGAGTCTCCATCCTCCTTGTATCTCCTTTCAAGTACTGGAAGGTCATAATTAGGTGACCTCAAATCCTTCTCTTTCCCAGGGTGAGCAATCCCAATTCTCCCAGCAGAGCTGCTCCATCCCTTCAATCAGCTTGGTGCCTCCTCTGGATTTATTCCAACAGCTCCAGGTCTCTGCTGTGCTGGAAGGACCCCAGAGCTGGACACAGCCCTGCAGGGGGGTCTCACAATCACCTCCCTCAACCACGGAGAAATCACAGGGAGAAACAATCCCGAGTTTGGGCTCCCAGGATCTGCCCCCCCCCCCCCCCCCCCAGGCACCTCTTTAGGGGTGATTTGGGCTGTCACAGCAAATATGCTGACTCTGTGGTGTGGGAATCCATAAAATCAGAGGGTTTTGGGAAAGCTGCAAAAGGCAGGCCTCAGAGACAGCAGAACTGTGATTGGAGCTAAGCAGTAGCCATGAGATTGGTCAGCAGAAAAATTGTTTAAAAAATAGAAAAGCAAGGACAAATAGAACAATGGTCTGTGTACTAACACTTGTCTAGAATAACTCCCTAAGCTACAGAAAACTTTATCTAGTGAGATATTAGGAAGTTTGAAGCTTAATAATGGAGCTCTGTAAGGCTCACAAGCAGGTATTGCATTTGAAATAAGCAAGCATTGTTTTAACCAAAGGTACCTGTGCTTACAGTGGTTGGATGGAACTGCTGTCAATGTGCTTTTGCTTTGTGGGATTGGCCAAAAAACTTCTAAAGTAAGTTGTAACATTAAGTTCTGGGATGTGAGCTGAGGGCATCTTCCCATTGTCATGACTGTGAAAAATGCATGTATTTTATGACTGGCTTTTCGCAAATATTAAAATGAATATTATATGTGTTGTGTTAGAAAGCAATGCTGTATTAATTTTCTTAAGTACTGTGTTAAATATAGTTTTAGGTTATAAAAATTGTTAAAATAGAAACTGTGCTATGTAAGATGCTTTGTTTAAAAGAAAGGACTTGCACTGAGATAGCAGCCACAGGACACCTGAATCTTTCAGAGAAAAAGAATTTATGGCCTTCTTATCGGAAGAAACGAACTTCTTCCTGCCTCAAAGGCGCTGTGAGGATTCAGAGGGGAGAAGGTGATGAAGACCAGACAGAATCCTGTGTTTGAATGGAATTTATGCATCATGTATGAGCTGTATGAATATGCAACAGGCTATTGTTCTTAAGGGTTAATCCTTTGTTAACGTGTGTCCTTTTTCGGGCTCGTGATGCCCAGAAAAGGTACCCGGACTGTCTGTAACTCTTTGTTTTTATTGTCTCATTTTGTCTTAATTCAATTTGTCCAAATTGTTACTACTCTAATTGTGTTACTATTTTTATAACCCTTTTATTACTATTAAACTTTAAAAATTTTGAAAAACCAGGTGATTGGCGTTTTTCACAACAACCATGTAACGAGACGCTGGAAAATAAACCAGCTCAAGGCACGCTCCCAGCAGCCCCGTCCCGTTTGTGACTTGAACATTCACCCCTGGCCGGCGATGTGTGGGTTTAAATGAACTTTAAATGCAAGCCAGCCCTTCGTTCAGAGGCACGGCCAGACCCGAGCTGCTGGAGGAAGTGGCGTCTCTGGTGTCTCTGGTGTCTCTCACCTTGAGACCACACGGCAGCAGCACCGTGGGACACCACGGAGGCAGAGGATGAGCAGGATGAGCGCCGCGACCCCGCCGCTCCTTCCTGCCCTGCCGACTCATCGCAGCCCGCGGGGCTTCCTGGAAGGTGACTCAGCCCCCCTTACTCACTCGGGTCACCGCCACCCCCTCGCTGGGGCTGGGCACAGCAGGGATGGGGCTGGCAGCATCCCTGGAGCATCCCTGGAGCATCCCTGGAGCATCGCTGCCCTGCGCGGCATCCCCCGGGTACCACCCTGCGATGGCACCGCACGCAGCATTTCCCGGCTCTGGTGGGGTTTGGGGAAGGAATTCCCGGCCTGAGGGGTTTGTGTGTGCCTGGGCTGCTCCAGGGACACGAGAGAAAGTGTCACCCCGAGGAGGCAGCTGGGTTTGAGCCGCTGCCAAGCGCGGCCCCACAGGGCGGCGGGGCGGTGGGAAAAGGGAAGCTGGCTCTGGACAAGGCCACATCTGCCCCCACAGGGCCCATGGGAGCCCGGCCAGGGCTGCTTTCCCAGCCCCTCTGCCCCCAGCACGCTCTCAGGGCCCTGCCCAGCCAGGGGTTGCGCTCCTCCTGAGCACAGCAGCCAGCCCAGGGCTGCTCTGGGACACGGGAAGGGCTGCCCATCATCTCTGGGGTCACGGTCAGGAGCTGGAGTCTCCCAGGGCGTTGAGGCTCCTGGGATGCTCACGAGCATCTGAACATTATTTCTTTGTTCTAAAACCCTGGCCTGGCCGTATCCTGTGGTTATTTCCTTTTCCCTTAGGGAAAGCAAGGGAGGATGAAGGGAAGGCAGAGTCTATTTAACACCAGGAGTGTGAAATTAGCCCTGGCTGTGCTCCCAGCCTTGCTGGGGTCACTTCTAAAGGGACCAAACTGATCTCCTGCCCTGGGGGCTCACACACCCGGGCTCTGGAAAAGCACCTGGATGGACGAGAAGTGGCCCTTGGGAGGGCAGAGCCCAGACAGAGGCAGGGCACTCGCTCTCTCCCCTTCTTCACTTGGCTGTTTGGATCCTGGATTCCTGCTGGCAGCCTCGTGCACGGATGGGGCACGGGATGTGGGGACGTCCCTCGGGATGCCACGTGCTGTGGCTGCCGTGCCAGATCTCTGTTCCCAGAAATCTCCCAGCTCTGTGCCAGCGCCTCAGCGCTGCTGCAGAGGAGCAGAAACCTCTCTCTGACAGCGAGGTGGGCACAGCCTCCCTTATCTCCAGCTCTGTCCACAGAAATCTGAGATAACTCATCCCACAGAGCACGGATATCCACTGCCTCCAGCCCAGGGCAGCTCCTTCATCCCCTCTCTAGAAGTGCAATTGGTTGTTTTGCCACCCCTCATACCTCCACCATGAGTTCTTGGATCCTGGGAATCTCAGTGATGATGATGTGTGGTCCAGGAGACCCTGCCTGAGCCACACGGCCCGGCCTTGGAGCCTCTGTGGGGTGGGAGGCACCTCTGCTCCTGCCACATCATTCTCCTTGCCACTCCATTCTCCTATCAGACTATCCTTCTGCCACTCCATTCTCCTATCATCCCACTCTCCTGTCAGACTATCCTCCTGCCACTCCATTCTCCTGTCACCCCATCCTCTGTCACCCCATTCTCCTGTTAGACCATCCTTCTACCACTCCATTCTCCTGTCCCCCCATCCTCCTGCCACATCATCCTCCTGCCCCTCCATTCTCCTGTCACCCCATCCTGTCACTCCATCCTCCTGCAACTCCATTCTCCTATCATCCCATTCTCCTGCCACACCATCTTCCTGCCAGCCCATTCTTCTGCCCCCTGTGATCCTGACACCCCATCCCATCCTCCTCCTGGCCCTGGGGACACAGGGAGTGATTCCCCCACTCCCCAGATGTGCAAATTGCCAAGCTCACGGCTGAGCTGTGCTCTCCCAAGCTTTCACCCCAACCCTCGAGATCTGGCCAGCAGACTTGGGGGATGCTTTACAAAGGCCAAGACAGAAAAGCGAGCGCTGGGGAGAGAGAGCACCCAGCGCCACTCACCGTGAAGGGCAGGGAGCAGATGACGAAGGTGATGGTCATGATGGAGAGCAGCAGCAGGTGGTCGATCTCCTCGGCCATGGAGAACATTCTCCGCCCGCAGCCCGCGGCCCCTCGGGGCTGCTCGGGGGCGGCCACCCTGCGGCTCCTCTGCCCGCGGCGGTGCATGCGGGCCAGGTTCGCCATCACGCTCAGGTTGCACAGCAGCACGGCCACGATCAGCAGCAGCAGCAGCGTGGCGTACAGCAGCGAGAAGGCCACGTCCAGCCTGCGGTGCGGCTCCAGGTGCATCTGGATGAAGCACCAGGTGCCGGGGCAGTACTGCACGTAGCGCCCGAAGCCCAGCAGCGGCAGCGAGCACAGGGCGGCCGAGAAGGTGTAGATGGCCGGCAGGGCCACCAAGCCCGTGCGGGGGCTCAGGAAGCGCTCGTAGAAGTAGGGGCGCCCCAGGGCCAGGCAGCGCTCCAGCGCCATGGTGAAGAGGATGAGCATGGTGGCGAGGCCGAAGAAGCTCATGGCGAAGCCGAAGTAGAGGCAGATGTGCCCTCCGCGGGCCAGGCTGGTCAGGGTGAGGTTTCGGTGGTAGGAGGCCAGCACCAAGGGGCTGACGGAGCAGGTGCCCAGCAGGTCGGTGACCACCAGCGCCAGCACCAGGACGTGGAACAGCGCGGGCGGGCGCTGCCGAGCCCCGCGGCGGCCCCGCAGCAGCAGCGCCAGCGCCAGCAGGTTCCCCAGGAGCCCGGCCGAGAACATGAGGGCGCTGACCAGCGGGCGAGCCCCGGCCGGCAGCGCTTCCCCGGCGCTCCCGTCCGCCCGGCCCGTCCCGTTCATCGCCGCACGCCCGACTGCGCTGCCGCCCCCGGCCCCGGCACCGGCGCCGCCCGCCCCGACGGCACCGCCCCGCCCGCCCACCGGCCCCGGCACCGCCCCGGGCCCCGGCACCGCCCCGGGCCAGCGCTCACGGGCACGGACGGAGCGGAGGCGGGCAACGCGCACGGACCGAGCCTGGCCCGACCGAGAGTCCCGGTACCGGTTTGGGAGCTCCAGACGCGACCGAGACCCGGTACCGGTCTGGGAGTCCCGGACACGGCCAGTGACGGTGCGGGTCTGAGAGTCTCGGTACCGGTGTGGGAGCCCCCGACACGGCCAGTCCCGGTACCGGTCTGGGAGCCCTGGTACCGTTCTAAGAGCCCTGGACAGGGCCAGTTCTGGTACGGGTCTAAGAGTCCCGGTACCGGTGTGAGAGCCCGGACACGGCTAGTCCCGGTACCGGTCTGGGAGTCCCGGATACGGTCAGTCCCGGTGCAGTCCGACGATCCCGGTACTGGTGCGGGAGATCCGGACACGCCGAGTCCCGGTACCGATCTGAGAGCCTCGGACACGGCGAGTCCCAGTGCGGTCAGACAGTCCCGCTACCGGTGTGAGAGCCCTGGACACAGCCAGTGACAGTGCGGGTCTGAGAGTCCCGGTACCGTTCTGAGAGCCCCGGACACGGCCAGTCCTGGTACCGGTCTGGGCGTCCCGGACACGGCCAGTCCCGGTGCGGTCCGAGAGCCCCAGTGCCGGGCCGGCAGCCCAGCCCCGCTGCCCGAGCGGGAGCGTCTCTTACGATCCTCCCCAGTGCCGGTCCAGGAGCCCCGGTGCCGGTCCAGGAGCCCCGGGCTGACCGGGAGCAGCGCTCAGGGCCGATCCCGGCACGGCTCCAGCAGTCCCGGTGTGGCTCCTGGGATGCCATGGAGCCCCAGCGTGTCCCGGTGCCAATCCCGGATCCCGGTGCCCTCCAGGAGCCCCTCGGTGGTCAGAGAGTCCCGGGGGTGCCCTGGGCCAGCTCCAGTCCTGGTGCTCCAGAACCAACCCCAAACCCCCCGAGCCCAGCTGAGCTGTGCAGGGCAATTCCCATTGCTCCAGAGGAGCCCACGGAGAATTCCCTGCCCATAGCTGGCACCAGGCCATGTCCCCATTGTCCTCATCTCCTGCATGCCATCAGAGGTCCCCAAGGGGTGCACCCTGTCCTCAAAGCCCATCCAGTCCCACCCTCTGCCATGGGCACCTTCCACTATCCCAGGCTGCTCCAAGCTCATCCAACCTGGGACACACTCAGGGCTGGGAAATCCACACGCTCCATCCCAGTGGCCTCAGATGCCCCCTCCATCCTTCAGGACACCAACCCTCACTCAATCTCCCTTTACTTCTTCACAGGTAACTTCCAGAATAAAAAAATCTTTTCCCTCTTGTGGCCCTGGGGCTGTCCTGACAGCTGTAACAATTTAATTTTTAATTTACTCTGTGACAAACACCAATCACTTGTTTTTGAAACTTTAAAAGTTTAATAGTAATAAAATGGTTATAAAAATAGTAATACAATTAGAGTAATAATAATTTGGACAATTTGAATTAGGACAATATGAGACAATAGAGACAAAGAGTTATGGACAGTCCAGGGTACCTTTTCTGAGCAGCATGAGCCCGAAAAAGGACCCACGTTAACAAAGGATTAACCCTTAAAAACAATAGCCTGTTGCATATTCATACAGCTCATCCATGATGCATAAATTCCATTCAAACACAGGATTCTGGCTGGGCAGTGTCAGCTTCTTCCTCTGAATCCTCACAGCACCTTCGAGGCAGGAAGAAGTTCATTTCTCCTGATAATGGAGCAATAAATTCTCTTTCTCTGAAAGATTCAGGTGTCCTGTGGCTGCTATCTCACTGCGAGTCCTTTCTTTAAAAAAGGTATCCTACATAGGATCATTTCTATTTTAACAATTTTTATAACCTAAAACTATTTAACACACTACTTAAAAGAATTAACACAGCATCACTTTCTAACACAACACACCCAACATTCATTTTAATATTTGTGAAAAGCCAATCATAAAATACACATTTTTCACAACTCCCTGCACCTCAGTGGAACACTGCAGCGGGGCAGGGACACGGCAGGTTGCAGCCCCAAGAGCTGTAACAATTTAATATTTAATTTATTCTCTGCACACCTCAGGAACAGGGCAGACTCCAGCAGGGACACCGAGCAGGTTGCAGCCCCACCGGTGGCCTTGGCTGTTATTTTAAAACCCACGCTTTTGTAACAGGAACTTCGCAAAGGAAACTCGGGGCGCAACAAGCTCCAGGGCCGGAGAGCTGCGGTTTGTGGCAGCACCTCCATCTCCGAGGGGCCACTCCCGGGCTGGCTCTGCTCTCTGCTCTCTGCTCTCACTCAGCTCCAAGGGCTCCTCGGAGGGCTGGCGGTGAGCAAAGCCACGGCCCCAGCTCTGTTCCCATGGTCGGATCAATGGTGGGATGGAGGGCGTGGTGTTCAGCCATCCCAGACCACCTCACCAGCAGGAAAACACATCCCAGGAGCTCTTTAAATCCTGCTTCCAGCCCTGATCCAGCAGAGCACCCCAGCACAGGGACACATCTGCAGGTGGGAGCCATCCTGTTTGATTCCAGAGGGTTGGGTGGCACCTGGCACAGGTTCAGCCTCCTTTGTGCCTCCCAAAACGCCAATCACTCGTTTTTAAAATTTTAAAAGTTTAATAGTAATAAAATGGTTATAAAAATAGTAACACAATAAGAGTAATAACAATTTGGACAAATTGAATTAGGACAATATGGGGCAATAAAAACAAAGGGTTACGGATGTCCGGGTACCTTCTCTGGGCAGCACGAGCCCGAAGAAGGACCCCTGCTCACAAAAGATTAATTCTTAAGAACAATAGCCCATTGCATATTCATACACTTCATACATGATGCATAAATTCTATTCAAACACAGGATTCTGTCTGTTCATTTTTAACTTCTCCCTTCTAATCCTAGCAGCGTCACCCAGGCGGGAAGAAGTTCGTTTCTTCTGATAAGAAGGCCATAAATTCCTTTTCCTGAAAGATTTAGGTGTCCTGTGGCTGCTATCTGCTGCGAGTGCTTCATTCCTTTATTAGGAAAAAAATCCCACTAGCATAGTTCTTATTTTAACTACAAAAGTTACCTTCTAATTACAAGACTACATCTATTTAAAATGTTAACACAGCACTACTAATCAATACATCGAAATACATATTCACCACTACTAGTCAATACATCGAAATACATATTCACCACTACTAATCAATACATCGAAATACATACTGTAAATATCTGCGTAGAGCCATATTGTATGCACTTATACCACACAGCTGGGGCTGAGCCCGGCCCTGATCCACGCAGGCAGCTGCAGGATGCCCATCCAGAGCCCTTTCCCAGCAGCAGGCACGCTGTAGGGTGCTCCAAGGCTTTTCCCAGCCTCCCACTCCTTTCTGGCATTCCCTGTCACAGCTCAGGAAGGGGTTTTGGCTCCTTCTGGAGCTCATTTTCCTGGCAGCTTAATGGAGCCTTAAATACCCTTCTGGGGCTTCAGGCTTCTCCACTGACAGTTGTCTCTGATGGGATTTTTTCTGCAATAATAGGAAAATTGCTGGGCTTTTGGTTTTTTTGTTTGGTTTTTTTTTTCATTCCCCCTTGTGTGCTGGAAACCAGGAACAGACTGCTTGGTACAATCTGTCCTGCCTTGGGAAGTGTTTGTTTTCTTCCCTTTGCTTCCATGTTTAGCTCCAGTCCTGCCTCTAGCGAGGGCCATATCAAACCCTAGAATTATTTAAGTTGGAAAAGTCCTCTAAGACATTGAGTCCAACCATTCCCCCAGCACTGCCAAGGCCACCACTGACTCCTGTCCCCAAGTGCCACATCCACACAGCTTTTAAACCCCTCCAGGGATGGGGACTCCACCACTGCCCTGGGCAGAGAAATTTTCTCCAATATCCAACTTAAACCTCTCCTGGTGCAGCTTGTGGCTGTTTCCCCTTGTCCTGTCCCTGTTCCCTGGAGCAGAGCCCCAAATCCCCGGCTGTCCCCTCCTTGTGCAGAGCCACAAGGGCCCCTGAGCCTCCTTTGCTCCAGGCTGAGCCCCTGCCCAGCTCCTCAGGGATTCTGCAGCCCCTGCCCAGCTCCCTCAGGGATTCTGCAGCCCCTGCCCAGCTCCTCAGGGATTCTGCAGACCCTTCCCAGCTCCTCAGGGATTCTGCAGCCCCTGCCCAGCTCCTCAGGGATTCTGCAGCCCCTGCCCAGCTCCTCAGGGATTCTGCAGCCCCTGCCCAGCTCCTCAGGGATTCTGCAGCCCCTGCCCAGCTCCTCAGGGATTCTGCAGCCCCTGCCCAGCTCCTCAGGGATTCTGCAGCCCCTGCCCAGCTCCTCAGGGATTCTGCAGCCCCTGCCCAGCTCCCTCAGCCTCTCCTGGGGCTCCAGACCCTTCCCCACCTCCATTCCCTTCCCTGGACACACTCCAGCCCCTCATACATCCTTCCAAGGTTTGTTGGCGTTGTTTTCCCTACAAGATTTCACCCCTTTTTGAACCAAACCTGATTATGGTGAGTGCATTTCATCCTTTCTGATGCAAACCTGTTTATGGTAAGTGGATTTCACCCCTTTTTGAACCAAACCTGTTTATGGTAAGTGGATTTCACCCCTTTTTGAGCCAAACCTGTTTATGGTGAGTGGATTTCACCCCTTTTTGAACCAAACCTGTTTATGGTGAGTGGATTTCATCCTTTTTGAACGAAACCTGTTTATGGTGAGTGAATTTCACCCCTTTTGAACAAAAACCTGTTTATGGTGAGTGAATTTCATCCCTTTTTGAACCAAACCTGTTTATGGTGAGTGGGTTTCACCCCTTTTGTAGGGAACCTGTTTATGGTGAGTGGGTTTCATCCCTTTGGAACCAAACCTGTTTATAGTGAGTGGATTTCATCCCTTTGGAACCAAACCTGTTTATGGTGAGTGGATTTCATCCCTTTTGA